TACTGGAGACCAACTATCTCGGTATCCACAAGCTAAAGGTTAAACAGATTCAGAATACAGAGTACACCAGGCAGCTTAGCAAAGTCGGGGTGAAGGCCGTGAAAGAGTCCATCGAGGCGAGGGGTTGGATATCAGCAAACGCCCCGTACGTCCTTGTTCCACGGGAATCACTGCCGGAGGGCAAGGACACAGTTTGGAGTAGCGATGTCCTATCGTCCCTCCAGGTCTTCTGTCTGGATGGCAATCATCGCCTTCGAGCCCTTTCCATGCTCTTTGGAGACGAGTACGAGATCGACGTTCGACTCTACCTTCACTTCGATGATGACATCATGGTCAACGCTCTCGCAAGAAGTAAGTATGTAGCTCCCACCAATCGCTTTTACCTTTCTTCTCTTGTGTCTCGCATGCACCAAACCAACGTGATTCATGTTGTTTCCCCTCTCTTCTGTTTTATATCTAGCTGCAGAAGTAGGTATCAGCAGTGTGTAGGGCTTCGAACAGCGGTCGAGCGAGACGACCTGAGACGTGCTCCTAACTAAACGAGGAGGAGGAGGCGCTTTTTTTTCTTGTCGGTTCCTTTCGTTGTTTTAGTTTTCCTCTCTCACAGTAGTAGTCATTGATCAGCCGGTCGTTTCTCGCATTGGTTTTTGGTATGATACATGTATGTATATGAAGACTGGTGTAGTACGAACGCATTGTATACAACATTCTCTTCGCTCCTTTTTTTTAAGTCTTTCTTGTGTGATATTGTACTGAAGTTGTGACGAGGGGGAACAAACTGTTGTAGCAATCACACGATACTTCACTCTACTTTCCCACCGGACCTTTCGCAGGCGTGAACAACACCACGGAAGCTACCGCTGTCACGACCACGTACGATCGCCTCTTCTCGTGCAAAAAGGCGATGGAGGCTGTCATGGTGAAACACAACCTCGGCAACGACGCCTCCAAGGTCACAGCTAAGATGCTCTCAGACGCTTACAAAAAGGTGTGGTTTTATTATGTTTATATGCCGTCTTTTTATTTTTTTTGTCGTTGCCTTGCCATCTTGGAACCTTGTCTTGTGGTGTGGTGCACTTGTGTTTCTTCGTCCGTCAGCTCTCTTCCTTCAAATTTAAATATGTGGTTGTTTTACAGTACTACATGCTGTTGCTGTTGTTGCGTCTTTCACGCGACCACCAAGAGCTTCTTCTCCCTGTGCCGAACTTGAATAATGCCATGTGAATGATGGAAGAAAGAGTGGTGGTATAATATGATTTCAGTACTTCACTTGTTTTTCTTCAATTTCGTACGTACAGTTATTGTCGGATGGCAACAACAATTAATAGTGGTCGTTACATATTTTGCTGTGTATTTCGACATCTTTTACGTCATGCCCGCCAGCTTGCTTTCGCCCCCTCATTGCCTTCCGTTCTATTTTGTTCCTTTATTTTCAGCTTTGCTTTTCAGGTAGAGCAAAGCCTTTGCCTCGGTCCTCAATACGTTCCCTGTCTCGAGGTCTTCATAGCTCTGCCCCGCACGCATCCATGCTTCGAAAAATTATTCATGTTTACCACTTTACGGTGCTGTGTCTGTGCTTTACGTTCCCTGTCTCGAGGTCTTCATAGCTCTGCCCCGCACGCATCCATGCTTCGAAAAATTATTCATGTTTACCACTTTACGGTGCTGTGTCTGTGCTGTGTCCGTGAATATGTTTCCGTACTTGTATGCTTGAAGAGCGGGGACTCACCGCCCAGCAACCCGACTCTTTGTGGCTACAAGAGGCTCGTGATTGGGCTCAAGGCTCCTGCGTTTGCGGCATTGAAGGCGGTGTCGGAAAGCGAGGAGAAGGGCGTGGATATCGGATGCTTGTCGAAGAGTCTCCTCGACTGCGACGCTGTTCTCAAGTTCCCTCCCGGACGCGAGTTCGAGCAGTCTCTCCTCATCCACATCCTTGCGAGGTACCATATTTATTTCGCGGACCAAGCACCCCAACCATTCCTGAATAGGTTATTGTGTCCGACATCATCGCTCTTGTTTCACGCACTTGGAAAAGTGTGATCTCGCTTGCCAAATTAGATTTCTATCGGTTTCATGCCTCTGACGTCTATTTTTCTGGAGGTTCTGAACAACGCTTCTTCCAACCGCTCGCGCTTGTCGTGCTATCCACTAGGTTTAAGACCAACGAACCGGGGCACAAGATGCCTGCCAAGACCGACCTTCCCAAGCTGAAGCAACGGGCGCTCGACGCTGGAGAGTACTTCCAGCTCGTGACATCCGTCATCCCGTACGAAAGCTGGAGTTCTCCTTTCCACAAGTAGGTTCTATCTACCTGAGTGTAGCCCAGAGGAGTGAGAGTACTTCCAGCTCGTGACATCCGTCATCCCGTACGAAAGCTGGAGTTCTCCTTTCCACAAGTAGGTTCTATCTACCTGAGTGTAGCCCAGAGGAGTACCGTAAGTTGGTCTGTGGTGCCACGGGGGCTTCTGTCATGCCCCCCCTCCATGCTTGCAGTAAAGTAGGATGATCGTGCCGTCGTGCCCCCGGGGTCGCAAGCTTTTTACCCCAAATAAAGAGAACATGCTCCCTCCCATTTTTTGCCGTTCGTTATCCCCCCGGGGTTGTGTGCTTTGACAAAAAAAAGTCATTCCCCCCGGGGGTGTTAATTTCCCCACTTGAAATTATACATTGGATTAAGACAGGCGTTCATTTGGGATAGACTTCATGGCCTGTTGCCGGCAGTACGAGTGCGTCACTGCATGTTGGGGCATGAAGTCACACCGAGCAGTAAATACGACATGTTTTTGTTGTGTTGGTTGATTTGCAGGCAAATTTCTCCTCGTTATCGCGCTCTATCTTTTCCTCCTCCTCCTCCCTCTCCTCCTTGTCCCGTTGAAGGGCTGCTCGGCTGCTCGTAGACTTGTTGCATCGTGATGGATGTACGATTGGTATGTGAGTGGTGTGTTTTTTGTTCTCCCGGGGGGGTGTTCGCCCGAGGTAGTGTCAACGAAATACAAAAAAATCCCCTCCCCGTTTTCCCATGTGCCCCCCGGGTGGTGTGCATTACAACAACAGAAGAAGGTTGTCCTCCCCGGGGGCACGATAGCTCAATTTACGGCATGTGCCTGTCGCGGTGCTTGGTGCCATCATGAGAAGCAGCTCCGGCGCGAAGGTCGGGGCGTACGTGGTTTGTTGCTGGTATTGTCGAAGAAGAGGCGGCGTGTATCCCGATTGCGACGTTGCCCTCAACAATGTGACCTTGGGCGTTGGGCGTGAGTGCTGCTGACCTAGCGCTACATGATGACCGCTTCCGCACGGCATGCACGCACAAAGGTCGTTTTACTCGTTGGTGTACGGCAAGCACACCGACTGGGAGACTTGGGGGAAAGGTCACATGACAGTGAGGGACGACCACGTGGAGCACCGGGCTGGCATGTTGAAGAAGAATCACAAACTGTCCGAGGAGCATGTCCGGATCATCAAGTCTCAGCTTCCCTCCAAGCTGGCTCAGGTACGCTAGCCCTTACCCTGTTGCTCGCGTACTCTTTCGCATGCGTATTTTCCTTTTCTCTTGAGAGCGAGGGACAGCCACCGCCGTGTTACAGAGAGACCTAACGTGAGTTGCTTGGGTGACCAACGTGATGTTATTGCCGACCCTTGACACCCACCGGAGGACTCGAAGGATCAAGCACGTGCCTGCGTCTCCGTCGAGCTCCTAGCATCCTGCATCCATCAGCGCACTCACTACTGTTCACCGATGAACAAACCACCCTCGACGCTTGCTTCCCAGGTTGCCAAGAAGAGTCCGGACATGCAGCCTTTTGTTGACACCTGGGACAAGAAGATGGCTGAGGTGGATGTTTTCGTGGAACAGCACAAGGCTTCCGCTGACAGCTCGTCGTCATCTAGTTCTTCGCCAGAGTCCTCCGACGACGATGACTCGCATGAGCTTCGCCCTTGCGGCGTGTGCAAGCCCCCTCCCGATGAAGGGTGAGAACCCGCAGGCGTCCGAGTTTCCCCCACCCCCCCCC